TGGGCCTGTGCCTACCGGGGCCTACTGGAAGCTTCCTGGACTGGACGCAGGCAGGCCACTTCGATATAGGGAAGGGCCTGCTTCCTCATTCGATATTCGGGTGCTGGCTGCATGYTGMGCGAGCGCTGCTGCGCTATTTGCTGGCTAGCTGGCACTCACGCTCTCACGGGCGAGCAGGAAGGAGCGGGCAGCCATAGCCRAGCTGCTCCGCTGTGAGCTGGGTGTAGCGCAGGGTGGTCCTTGGGTGCTAGTGGCATCTGTGTGGTGTGGAGCGGGGTTGTGAGTGTTGCGAGMGAYATACCTGGTRCTRGAAGCGYGCRGCRTTGCCCGCTGTATSCTCGTACTTCAGGAAGYTGTTGATGTCAACATCRGCATTGTAGTATTAGGCTAGATAGGATCTGCCACATGTAGTCTGGGCGCCGAGCGCCAATASGATATCARCTCTTGTTCTTCGTTGATGATGATGAGAGACTATATCAGCATTGTCAATTACGAACTATTGGTGTGTTCTTATTTGGTGAATCTCGTGATGCATTTCTACTGTTGGTTCGAGGTCAAGACTAACTGGACTCATATGTATGATGCTGTTTGATTGCTGGAGTTCGCTAATGCTCATCTTCCTTGCATAAGGCTCGCTGCATGTGAGGATAAATACGGTGCAGGGCTGGCCAGCTCAGCAGGACTCGGGGCACAGGGGTGGGCCGTGTGCACACCTTCAAACAGGCACGCCATCTGGATTGCTTAGGGACGTTGACGACAAGAGACATTCAAGAAGAATTGAGGGAGGGGTAGATTCCAGGTGATATGTTTGGGCAACATTCCATTCTGCAAACAGACCCAACAAACGATTCTGCGAGGCCACTGCCTCTATTTACAGCCCGTCAGCCGCCCTAAGTGAAGGCAGGCCCGACGAGGCCTTCAGGGCCTTATTTCGGCCTCTGGGCAATTAAGGAAATTCAGGCAGTTGCGCAACACCAGTTGGTTGAAGAAACCCAGGCCCTGGGCCGCCTGTGTGAATGAATGGAAAGCAGGCCCTGGGCTGGATACGGGTACTGGGCCACACACATGCCGAAGGCAGTTGGGCACATGCAACTACCGCAGGCCCCAGGCCTGTGCTCGATCGTACTGGGCCTCAGGCTACCGGGGCCTACTGGAAGCTTCCTAGGACTAGACGCAGGCAGGCCACTTCGATATAGCAAAGGGCCTGCCTCCTCATTCGGCATTCGGGTGCTGGCTACATGCTGCGCAAGCGCTGCTGCGCTATTTGCTGGCTGGCACCTACACTCTCACGGGCGAGCAGGGAAGGAGCACGCAGCCATAGCCGAGCTGCGCTGCTGTAAGCTGGGTGAAGTGCAGGGTGGTCCTTGGGTGCTAGTGGCACCTGTTTGTTGGGGAACGAGGTTGTGAGTGTGGCGAGAGACATACCTGGTGCTGGAAGCGTGCGACCATTGGTCGCCATATGCTCATACTTCGGAAATGTTGTTGACGTCATCTTTTGGTATCGTAGTGTAGGCTAGATAGGATCTGCCACATGTAGTCTGGGCGCCGAGCGCCAGAGAGGATATCAACTCTGGTTCTTCGTTGATGATGATGGGATTAATTTCAGCATTGTCAAGTATGAACTCTTGGTGTGTTCTTATTTGGTGAATCTCGTGATGCAATTCTGTTGTTGGTTCGAGGTCACGACTATCTGGACTCATATGTATGATGCTGTTTGATTGCTGAAGTTCGCTATTGCTCGTCTTCCTTGCAATTCTATTTTTATTTTGATTAGTTAGATATACAGCCATTAACATCTGATAGACAACATTAGTTAGAACTGTTTTCTGTTCCTTGTGCTACTGTTTGCGGGCTAGTCAAAGTAAAATAGTTTTCGTTTGTAGGAACCTGGACTTACCTGTGGGACCCAAATGTATATACTCTCTGACGCAGCCACCGATTAATTAGTTTTATTATAAGTCGGTTTGTGCACTAAGCTGCGGTAAGCATTATAGAGTGTCTTAGTGCAGATTGTGTACAATGTTGTGGCTTATGAGCGATAGGGATATCACTAGTGAGGACGACCGGATCTTGCGATCGGCTAGACGCCCGATAGCCCACTTGGCCTGAGGACCAGAGGATGACAAATTTATGTTCCGCCAGCTTAGGGAGAGGCAGCAGCAGCAGAGGAGAGCTAGGGCAGTAGAGGCCAGCAGGGCGTTCGTAAGCGAAGCCGCAGCTTCAGCAACCATGGCAATTGCTGCGCAGCAGAGTTCCGATGCTAGCAGTTCAGGGAGTGTAGGGTCAACGGTCGCGCATACCCTGAGTTAGTCCACTGGTGTAATGGCAAGCCAGCCGTTAGTGTTGACTCCCGAGGAGGTCGCCATACAGCGAGCTGTTGATCGCGAGGCACGACTACAGAAGGCTTTAGGAGAGATTAAGGCAGAAAAAGAAAGAATGATTAGAAGAAGAGCCAGGTTGCAGCGGCGACAAGCGGACATTAGTGAGAGGAGATGGACCCAGAGGAGTTGGATGATCAGGTGAGGACCCTGAGGTTGGTTTTGTTAGGTGTAGTAGACATGCAAGACCAACAGACGACAATCTTACAGGACATTTAGCAGAGTCTGGTGTCTTGGTCGGGCGAGCGCAGGCGGCACCATCACTGTCCAGGCCTGGTGTCTGGCCCGCTGTACATCCTCCTCCTTTTGTCCCACCGGTGACTAAGGTATCCCCATATACCACTCCAGCATCGGTTGAACCTGTCTCCCTGGGTATACCTTTAACAGGCAGGTTCTGGGCAGGTCCTAGTTTGCAGGTTCTTGTACAGACAGTGTTCTCCCAACCTCCGTCTCAGGTTGCCATAAGCGGGCAGCCTGCTGTCTCACAGCCTACACAGCTGCATGGTTCACAGCCCCAGCAAATAGTGCAGCAGCCTGCACCACAGGGTCCACAGTCCGCAATGGTGCAGGTACCGGGACAAAGTCAGTGGGTACCAAGACGACCATCGCCGCTCCTAAACCCTTTACAGGGGATAAGAGGGGCGAAGACCTTGACACTTGGTTGAGGACAGTGCCGGTCCACGTCAAGTGCAAACTTACCTTGCCGCACGAGGAAGTGCTTGTGGCTGCCTCCTATCTAGAGGCGAGTGCAACACGATGGTTGAGTGGTTTAGTGCAGCTACAGGGGTATGGTCATGACTTTCGCGCTTGGGCGGTCACCCAAAAACAGGATGACTTTCTGAAGTTGGTGGAAGACGGGTGGTATGATCCTCAGGAGGCCCAAAAGGCTACTGATGCAATCCTGACACTGGACACAAGGCAATTTAAGTCAGTAAGGGAGGCCACTGACGCTGTAGAGCGTCTGATCTGTGTCCTGGGGTGCGCTATGACCCCCAGGTTTTACTTACCTCTTACCTGAGATGCTTTCCTATGCCTCTCAGGAATCAGTTGGTCGGTGAGGCCAACATCAACATGCACAACTTCCCATCGTTCAGCGAGAAGGCCCTAGACCTTGAAGCAAAGATAGGGCATGGTCGGATACCCATGACGGATGGTAGGAAAAAGTCACTGCCTCCCAACTGGAAAGCGAAGGGACACATCATGTTCGTCGACAATGATGGTTCCACCATCGAATTGGACGATGACTTCCAGTCGGGAGTGGGTTCAGAGGCCGACAGCGTAGAAGCTTCAGGGAGTGTAGTCGCTGTCGTAGCACAAAAAGGTAAGGCGGCCCGTAGACACTGTGGAGGTTCCCGGCCTAGGAGTCAAGTTGACCCCAATGCTCCTCCATGGGAGAAAGCGGGTCTCACTTAGGACGTGTGGAGAGACCGGTACACCCGGCAAGCTTGCATTCGTTGTGACCAATATGGTCATAACCAATTCAAGTGTCGTAACAGGAAGGTTACCGAGAAGATCCCGCCTACGATGGGGCAGGCGTTGGGATCCTCCATTCCCGTTGGTAGCAATGTGGCCAGCAGTTTTGGCACTGCTCCGGGAAACGCGCCGGGCCAGTAGGAATGGTAGTTGTTCCTGCTAGGGTCGAGGTGCTGGACACACCCTCACCATCTCGAGAGATGGCCCAAACTACTGACTCCATTGTTGTCCCGCAAACACATTCTGACCCATCGAGCCTCTGTTCGATGAATGTGTTTGAATCCTTAGAGGAGCTAGAGGAGGAGTGGTCTAGATCAGATCCACTAGCTTCTTGGACGGAAGTAGCCAAAGCCCCAAAGGGAGAGATGCTCGTCGGCGAGGTAGTCATCTGCGGCCGCAAGGTCGGGGCCCATTATGACACTTGCTCGAGATGGAACTTCATTAGTTGCACGTGCGTTGAGAGGCTGCGCTTACAGGGGCACGTGCAGCGCCTGAATCGACCTTTGGAGTCAACCTGTGCCAACAAACAGCGCATGGTAGTCAACGACTACCTCCAGGATGTTGAGTGTTGTTTCCCGTAGGCGGGAGGGGAATTCAAGCATCGCGTTTTGTTCCTAGTGAGCGATGATCTCCCTATGGATATCTTGTTAGTTATGCACTACCTCTCTGTGGCACAGCCCCAGTTTAACTGGGACCGAAAATTGGTCAAACACACTTTGCCAGGTGGAGGGACCGCCAAATTACGTAAGTACAAAGCTAGTAGTCTGATTGAGTCCCACGAATGCATGTGTGTGGTCGCGTTCTATAATTATTATAAGCAAAATCCGGAGGAGGGTATGTATCTAGTTTATGTCTCTGCAGCAGGCGAGCCGTTGAAAATGCCGCCGGAGATAGAGGGAGTAGTTGCCAAGTACCCTGATCTATTTGCAGAGCCTACAGGGGTTGTTGAGCGGGAGGTGGTCGTCCATGCGATAGAGATTATCCCGGGGTCTAGTATCCCGAAGGGTAGAATCTATCGGATGTCTCCAGGCGAGCTTGATGAGCTTCACCGGCAACTCAAGGAACTCGTAGAGAAGGGTTGGATCCGGCCGAGTGTTTTTCCTTATGGATCGCCAGTCCTATTCATACCGATATGAAGTCCGAGTACCATCAGATTGCAATCCGGCCCGAGGATCAACACAAAACCTCATTTCTGACCAGGTATGGTCTATACGAGTTTGTGGTGATGCCTTTCGGCCTTTGTCATCGTGTACCTCGCTGACATACTTATTTTTAGCAAGATTGTCGAGGAGGATGTTGCGCACTTGGACAAAGTCCTTAGTCTTCTTCGACAACACAAGTTCAAGATCAACGGTGAGAAGTGCGAGTTTGGCCGCACCCGTGTCTTGTA